AGCAAAAACGTAAGTTTTCCCTTACTAATTTCCATATAAATTTCAAACGCAATGCGAAAAGCCGGGCTACAACCCCAAATGGAACCAAAAAATATTTTTCTGAAAATGTGAACATGATGACCCACCCCAATAATCATGAAATAGTTAATGTAAATAAAATATGTGGTGAAAAACAAAATATGAAAAATAATACAAATAACCTAGATTTTGATTTATTGCAATTCAACTTATTTTATTCCATAATATTTGTTTGGAGCTGCACTGTACCAAAACATCAGCCTATGTTCGAATAAAACCTCAGACTATTCAAATCGAATCATTGAAATTGCTTTTTCTAATGATAGCTGCAACCAGATGATGGTTGTTTTGTAATCAGATGATGCTCCTCTCGAAGACAGGATGAACATTAATACGAGATGTGAACGGACCTCAGTTGAAATACGTAGTTCTCTCCGTAGAATGATTGTCATCCCAACTTGAAATGCATATGGTATTTGTTCAGCCCCATAACGAAAATCATCCAAAATGATGATGATGTAAATAATTCTATCGAACGTCATTTGCTGATCTGAGCTGACAAACGAGGTGGAAACACAGTCATCGCTATCAGAGGTGACACGAACATCGGTAAATCGTGGAAACCGTAGATTGTCTATTTGGTGGTAGAGGAAGTTTCCGCTACCAACATTGAAAGCATTTGCTAGTCATCATATTCTTAAATTGTTGTCCTATGAGCGCTGTATGTTTTACAGCCAATTTTCAAATAAATATCATCCTTTATTTGGATGACAGTCACATGCATGCTCATCATCTGATGACGAATTCAACCATAAGGAAATCATCCGAAATTCAAAAGCATAAGGGCTCGAGTAATGCAATAATCATTCGAAATATTGCGGATGTTTTCGTTCAGTGTGCTCACACTTTTTTCACGTGCGAAGTTATTTGGACATGGGAGATTATATTTACAAGGGATACCATTGAATGTATCAACAATGCTTGTGTATACAGGAAACCCTGCAAATGTAAAATATTTAAATAACTAGACATGTTGTTCATTGGTATCAAAATTATTTTTTTCTGGGGTATTGCAATTTTTAAATACAAATAATATAATCTTATGTTGAAATAATCGATATGCATTAGAGTGTTTCTAAAAAGGTCAATCCTGAAATTTCAATTGCTACCCCTTGACATGGTAGTATGAGGGGTCAGAAACACCCTGCCAAAATTTGAAGTCATTTGGTTAAATGGAACCCCTCGCTGAAAGGGCTTGAAGTTTGTATGGGGAAAATCGACAAAAATTTATGGAGGGACGAGCCAGTTTTCCACTCCTGACTCTAGGTAGCTCTGTAGCTAGTAGGTTTTCTTCGTGTACAACATGTAGACCATGTAATCATGATGTTAACCCCGAAAAGTTATTAGCGTTTCAAATGACCTCCACCTGCCTTACTTTTGGTTATGGCCTTATTTTTCGAACAGGCATATGAATAGCATAAATAACATAAATATTAAGTAATTACGGATATTCCAGATAATCCGGTGGACCATCTGGTGGCCACTTAGAACCAATGACTGGCTAATATATAAAAAAACACAATTTTACTACATTCCATATAGTATCAGAAAAATCCAGAAAAGTTCTCTAAAGCTAGCTTCTCTGAGGAAATAGGAACTTCTTTAAAGCTATGTCTACATCTTTAAAATTTACTTGAAGTTTTCAAGATCCCTGAATTTCCCTAGAATTTCTCAGATCTTTCTTGAACTTCCCTTTTGTTCTCGCAGTTTTCTTATGAATCATTCGTCGGATTTATATATATTCCTCTGAACTTTTTTTTTAACGTTCATACAATGTTCGTAAAGTCAATGGGACTGCCCTGAAGTCTTCTAATCTTTTCTGAAATTCAAGTAACTTCCCTGAAGTTCTCACTATTCTCCTGAGAATGTTTCTGGAATTACCCTGAAATTGTTGGGACTGCCCCAAAGATCTCCAAACTTCCCTTAAGTGCTTTAGACTTCCATGAACATCTTGGTACTTCTGTGTAGATACCTAAATTTCTAAGTTCTATGGAATGCATTTCAATGGAAGTGTAAGTTCACCCAAACATTGATTATACTGCATGATCTGAACAACTTTGTCATGGAAAAGTTTGTTAAAACAGTCAAACGGTTTGTCCCATTACATAAGAAACAAACTTAAAATGCGTTTTTCTCGGCTTGCTGATTTGTGCTATGGGACGGACTTGCCATGAGCGGCAGTACATATCGTTGAATTTTCGGAACTTCTTAAAGGTTCCCTCTATGTTCCTGAAATTAATTGAACCAGGGTTGCTTCGACTCATTGCGCTATATTTTTTTCTCGGAATTCTGCATTTATTGGACGCTATAATTATACTTTGAGGTTATCTTTGTATTTGTTGGATTCCTATAGATTTTGAAATTGAACGAAGACGTTTCCCTGATGATGAGAAGATCTAAGAAGGGGAGTTTGCCGTCTCTCTCTTCTTCGTGAGTAAATTTGATGTCCTTGTGAACGTTGCTTATGGCCTCATTTTTTTTGTTTTTTTTTTTTGATAAATCTTCCCTTTTGACAATGCTAACAATGTCATCCACGTACCTATACCAACACTTGGGCAACAAATTTCTATCATCCAGAGTATTCTCTAGGTTAGCTATGAACAATTCACATAAAAGTGGAGAAAGCGGATTGTCCATAGGAGCACCTTTAGTTTGCTTATAAAAATTCCCTCTGAATATGAAATAATTTTCCTCCATACATAGACGAGTAAGGTTAAGATATGACCGACCTTTGTTTTTCCAAGTAGAATCCTCACGTTGCTTCAGAAGCCAGTCCTCTAAAAGGTTGAGGGCTTCCTTTACTGGTACATACACTCGGAAAAAGTGCTGTGACATCAAATGAAACCATGACTTCATCTTCCCGAATTTCTCCTGATGCCTGAAGTTGTTTTGCGAATTCCTGTGTGCTGTTAACTGAGCGAGTCTAGCGGGGCCGGTGGTGTAGTGGTAAGCGTGATTACCTCTCACCCCAGCAGGCCTGGGTTCAATCCCAGTCGGCGCCGCCGGGATGTTCTGAGGTTGTGTTTCGGAAGGGAAGTAAAGGTGTTGGTCCCCGGTTCATGAGTTGATGGGTCGATAGGTAGGGTCCAGGTGTGGGAGCTGACTCCCTGGCGTCGGTAGCATTGGTGCTCAGCACGGAAAACAAGATCGACGGAAAACAAATCAAAGGAAAAAAAAACTGAGCGAGTGGTAAAGGGTTTAGGCATATTTTGAAAACATGTTTGGATTATGTATTCTCATGTAATGTATACATGTTTCTAAATTGGGTGGAGCACTTTCTAAAGTTTTGCTCTATCAATAGTGGCGAAGCAATATGTACTTACGAGCGCCTATTGACAATTTGCATCCACAAATTCCTTAACGAATTTGGACACCATACCATGAATATATTAACTGTTTTTATCTCGATAGGGTGATCAATGTTTGTTCACGTTTAAGAGCGCATATGCGCAAATGGCGGCCCAACAACTGATGGGCGTAATACATTAAATATCTGATTCCCTCATCTTTCGTGTATTCGTGGAAAATGGCATACACATAATCTTACAGCTGAACTAGCACACAAAATAAATTTAATATTTCAAGGATTCAAATAAGAGCTGTGACTTGAGTTTAGATCAAAAAAACAAAATGGTATCCTAAATATGTTGTACAGTGGCACATTTTGCTCACGTTTACTTATTTTTTCAACTCCTTGTTCAATTTATTCACGCCGTTTTGAAGTGTGACAGAAAAAAATGGTATCGTTTGGCGTAAAAGGAATGAATTTTTATTTGTTTCGAGAGGTTTTGATTTTTTAACTCAAAATGAGCCAAAATATGGCAGTGAAATTTTGGACTAATTGCGCAAAATCTTTAACTATACTATTTTGCAAATAAAATGGTTGGATTCCAAGATTCATCAGCAACTACGAAAGAATCTCCTTGCATAACCGCTGATTTCAAATTTACTGAATACTGACTGTTGAAAATTTATTAGACATTTTGTTCTCATGACCATTGCCAGAGATACACAACCGCTTAGACCCTCATAAAAATTACCGTTATGGGCTAAACATTCTTTACTTAAAATGTCAAGTTATTTGATATAATAGTTTAAAAATAACAGCTGTTTATGTGTATACCATTTTCCACGATACACCCTTTGCTTTCATTTCACATTTAAAGGTGCAGATTGATTTTAGATGAAGTTTGCAGCGCAATTTTGTAAATATGACCGCTTAGTAACCTGGATACGCATCCAAAAACTTTTATGAGAAGAGCGCATGTAGATCGATATGCCCAGTTTATATTGATTAAAAATAATAATAATAATAATAATCACCATTTGGAGCTAGTTACTTATAGAGTAACCTTACTCATGGTAGCACCATGACAGGCCTGAACATGAATCGTTTCGATGCCCAGATCACTTTGCTTCTAAACCTATCATGTATCCCGATACCATATTCTTCACCTGATTCTACCAGATCTCTGCAATTTCCCTTCAATTGTATTTTAAAGTCATCGGAAACTCTTACTCAAACAGGTCCCAAGAAATCTTGCCGTCACCGGGCAACAACGATAATGGGAGCCAATTTCACAAACATGAAAAACTATCCTTAGCGGTCATAACACAAGCCAACCAATCGCAAGAAAGCGAGACAAAAAGACCCATATTGTTTGCTGTTGACATAGAGATATTTCCTGCAGGCAATGCTGTTGTTGTTGTGTTATCGTTTTTCCTCCGTATCAAAACATTTTTTTCCCTCCCATCGACAAAAGGCACATTGCTGCGGAGAAGTGATTCGACAAATTTGCATAAATTTTCCCTATCGAACCTTTCCTTGATGTTTTGTTTTTTTTTTTTTGCTCGTCTTCGCTCTAAACTTGCGCAATCTTCTCACATTCTCGCGTATCACGTTTTCTTCGTTCTTTCCTCAGATACCTTCAGAGCTGTCGTGATATCGGCATGCAAAGCTCGGGCATGTCGTTGAGCACCCGACAGCTGGTGGAGTGTGGCCTGCAAGTGGCCCGTGGCATCTCGCATCTTCATTCGCTCGGAGTCCTGCACAAGGATGTCGCCACCAGAAACTGTGTGTAAGTATGTCACCGCGACGCATTAGTTGGGAAGGTTTAGAATTGCTTTCTAATCGAATCTGCTTTCAAATACGGCAATCTTTCTTAGTAGTTACTTGTAGTTTGTGGTTGTCGTTAATTCAGACATTAATCCAAGTGGTTCAAAGCAAAACCAGAAACTTTTTGAGTACGAGATATTACTGACAGCTCTGCATTCAATGGAAAATAATCACAATAAATAAAACGTCTTTCCCTGTGTGCCTAACTGATTTTTGCTGAGAAGGCAAACCATCAAGTTTTGCCTCGTATGAAAAACGTCAAGAAGAAAGTTTTCCCAGAAAAAGTGAAATTGAATTTTATCCTTCCCTTGATACGTTCTCACAAGATAATGTATTCATAAATCTCCGCCATCCTGATGTATGTGAGTGCGGTGGTACACAATCACGTACAAAGCACGACTTGTCTTGCCAGAGACTCCCCCCTCCCCCGCCCTCTCCCTCTGGCCGAAGAGAAAAGCGACATGTATAATAGAGACACAAATTTCCCTCGTTTATGTCTACAAATTTCAACTCACCCTCCACCCCCAACCGGATCTTCATTGCAACACGGAGACATGATATTTCTGCCCGATTTCTTCCCTCTGCCTTTAGGCTCGATTCCGAGCAAAACGTACGAGTCTGTGATAACGCACTGTCGCGTGATGTGTTCCCGAATGATTACCACTGCCTTGGCGACAACGAGAACCGCCCGATCAAGTGGATGGCGCTGGAAACGCTGGAGAAAAAGTTCTACACCGCCTCGAGTGACATCTGGAGCCTGGGGGTGCTGCTGTGGGAGCTGGCCACACTGGCGGCGATGCCGTTTGAGGTAAGTGATGCATAGTGGGAGTAATGCCGCGGATACACTTGGATGACAAACTATGAGCATTAGCATTATTTGTATAATAAATTGTGAGCGCATTCATGGTCACACTTGTATAGTTTGTGTAAAGTTGTTGTATAGTGCTCATAATTATTATACTAATAATGCTCATGCTCATAGTAGGTCATACAAGTGTATCCGCGGCATAAGGGTGTGCGGTACATCGAGTTATTCCGTTTATTTCGCACAATATTTTGAAGGTGTCAAAATGTTAACTAAATATTCTCAAGAATCTTGTTCGGATTTCTGGGAATCTCCTTTATTTTTTAACAAGGCATGATCATTGTTGAAACAACCCGACCAGAGACCAATTTTTGTGATATGAATTTTGACTGAAAGAAACGATTTTTTTTCGACCAATTTTTGCGCGTTCCAGTCTTGCACGTTGAAAATTGAAAACGATACACTCACCAAAATTAGTATAATTGAGTTCAGTATCGACGTTGTTTTTTACTCTTATTAGCTTGTTAAATCCGTGATGTTTGAAGCTAGGTCAAATAAACATGCAAACACCGTAATCACCATAAAAAATAATAATAGTGTGCATAACAAAAACAACAAAATCAAACGAGCATTGAAACGCATCAATGCTTTCAATTGAAATGAAAACAATCACGATAATTCATGTTTATTGTTCGGCGAAAAAATAGAGCACTACGATCATAGTTGACTATCCCTTGTGCGCCGCCTTCGAAGAAGAGTAGGAGAAATGCCAATCGATTGAAACGAGCTGCCCAAATTGAATTAAATGTGTGCCAAACATTGGCCTATTTTACTCTTCGTGCTCCGCTGCAGGCACCATCCTAGCGAAAAGAGCAGCGATTCAGCGTTTCGTGATAACACTGTGATGACTGTGATGGTTGGTGGGCCACAGACAGGATTGTGAAAGGACGAACCCATTCGTTGATTAGTTTCCTTTCTGAACCTTGTTCAGGAAGAAAGAAATCAAACCGTAACAAATCGAATATACCTACTGCTGCCTTTGAACGAAGTGGCAAGGCAATTAATTAGGCTCGCAGTCCAAACAAATGTTACCACTCCATTAAGGCATACAAATTCGTCGAATCGGTCCCTCAAAGCTATTTAGGTCATTCCAGTTCGATGGTGTGTTGAAATATCCAACACACTCCCGAAACAGCTCGGAAAATCATTAAAGCTAATTCATAACCACATTATGTTCGATTATAAATTAATAATAAATGAGCATCAATTAATTAAATTAATTCGCTTCCACTGTTTCGCCCGGCACTTTTACGACACATGCTTTTATGTCTCTCAGCAACTCCTCCTCATAACAACACAAATTCCCGCTCAGCCAGGATATTATGGCCATAATAATAATTTTGTCGTTCTCGCCTCGTTTCTTCATAAAACATCCTGTGAGTTTCCCTTTACCCCTCCCTTCACCCTTACAACCCTCCTAATATCCTGACCGAATGTTCATTGTGTGGTGAACCGATTCGAAGTGGCATTTATTCACTGCTCGTTAAAACAAATATAATTCATTTCTTGTTGGCATTCTAATGTAGGTACATTGTGCTTTGCTTACAAACAATCCTTCCCCGATTCGGAATGATGTGCGGTTGTTGCATCGGTAGACTCTGAGGAATGGAGTAGACAGTGGTGCAGGAAAGCGATTAAACAATGCTACAGGCTTTCTCTTATCGAGAAGGGTTGCTGTTTTCTTTGGTGAAAAAAAGGCACTGCGTTCAAGATATGCTCGCATTGTTGGCGTAGAGATACGAGTTTGTCTGCATTAGGCCATTATGATTGTATTCTTTCTAAAACTATTTGGTTCGTAAAACTTTGGGCCGAAAAATTATGAGCATTGACTCAGAAATGCTTTTATCATGTCATACGAGCTAAGATCCAAAACTGACTGGGATCAAATCCCACCATGCGACACCTCAAATCACATGAGAATTCAAAAAAAGTTCGTCGATAGCCATACCCAGTGCCCAGGAGCATATTAGTCACATCTGGGCATGCTCTGGGAACCTCCGGGGAAGGGTCCAGATCCTCACTAGAACAAAAATCCACCATGTGACACAGCAAACTACATCAGAATACAAAAACAAGATCAACGGCAGCCTAACCGAGTGCTCTGGACCACATTAGCCTCGTAGAGCCATGTTCCGGGTAAGAAATGGCCAATTCCCGAGTAGAACCAAAACCCAGCATGCGACACATCAAATTACTTCAGAATTCCAAAACAAGATCAACGGAAGCCATGTCGAGTGTCCAGTGGATTTTTTTTTTTTTTTTATTATCAGGGTTATGGAAATTTTCTCCACAGGTAGAATTTATGGTTACATACTTATCCGGTCAGTAAGTTAAGTTGAGTTTTCTTCATTATGGAATTTTTCAGGCTTGTTCGCCTCCGCGGTCAGTAAGGTTCTACTAGGTTTTTAGATCAGTAACTGTTCGGTAAAAGTTTAAAAATCTGTGGAAAATCCAAAAATGAGAAAATTTGCTCTGAAACTTTAAACATTGGAGGCGAACCAGCCTCAGGCTGAAAGCCTCCTTAATAAAGATAAATCAATCAATCAATCTGAAACTGTAGAAACTTAGTTCTGTTAACCATATTGAATAATAGAAAATAAAATTTGTCGGTTTAATTTATTCCTTACGGGCAACGGTCATTTGAATTTCTACCAACGTGTTGAACAATTCAAGAACCCAGTAAAAAATACTACTTTCTGTAAAATAATCTAACAATGTCAAATGCTATTTATCCGAATGTGATTTGGCTGAAAGGTTCCGGATAATTGGTCGAATGCCGTTTGGCCGAATGTTATATGGACGAATGCCATTTGGCCAAATGGGTTGTTTGGTCGAATGCCGCTTAGCATAATGCCGTTAAACCGAATGTCATTTGGCCGAATGCCGTTTGGCCGAATGCCGTTTGGCCGAATGCCGTTTGGCCGAATGCCGTTTGGCCGAATGCCGAACAACAAAACTCCAAAGAACTGCTCATGATTGAAAGAACGAAAAATCACCTATTTTTATTAAATTCTTATTTGTCGTCATTTTTATGACAAGCTGCGTTTACTGTGCAAAACATAACTAGGGTAGAGAACTACTTCGGCCTAATCGCCCATTTTGGGCATATCGAGCAGAAAACTTCAAACAAATCCATGATTTCAGAGTTAACAAGTCAATTATGCGTTTGGTGGGATACTTTAGTTCAGAAACTACCGAACGAAGTCAATAAGAACGCGTGATATAAATGTTTGCTCCCATTATTCTCAAAAACAAAAGAAGCGCTTCGACCGAATCAATTTTTATCTTCATTCGATAGGCCGAAGTGAATTCAATGGTGTTTGAATGGCGTTTCAATGCATTAGGCCGAGCTTAGAATCCGTCAGCCGAGTTTGGCGTCAAGAAGCAGTGTTAGACTTTTGACAATATCTCAACGATTGGTTTCTCTTACGTACGGAAAGGTAAATAAATTTGGAGGCCATCTGTAATAATAACATTCCATTTGGTGCTAAACTGCGCTAGAAGAAGGAAAGAATAAGTGCGGGTTGTGCTTAATATGCCGGAAATGGGGAACACGCAACCGGGGGATGTAAGATTTGATTACAATTATGTGGTATTCATCATCAGAGAATGTTAGTGGAGACCGCATGAACCGAGTATGCGATATACCTAGCTGAGGTCCATTCCAGGAAATTTGTAGACCGAAAAATGTAGAGTGTATTAGTGAAGTAAATCAGTTATGTCGAAAAAAGTTGGAGGGTGGTGTACAAGACACGACCGCATTGTTGACGTAGGACTACGAAATTTTTGTTCGATTTTTTAGTCTGTACTCTCTGTACTCTGTATTATTTAACGGTTCGGACGTTTTCGAAGATGTCGCGCAGCACGAGAATGCATACGATGAGGGTTTCTTAGTTTATGAAAGTTAAACGGACCCACCGATAAGACTACAAATAGAACATAATTTATTTCCCTAACAAATTATTTGATTTTTGTATCATCAATATACATCAATTTAGTGACAAATTGAATGGGTGAATCATGAGTTACTCTATATAAATTCTATTCTAACTCTTTTCTGAATTGAACTTGGTGACCCTGAAAAGGGCCGTTTTGATACGTTGGTAATAAGTTTTAACCTCCGAAACCGTACAGAGTGCGTGCGTCCCTGTCGCTTCAGAGCGTAGACGACATCCATGGCCGTGACGGTTTTGCGCTAGGCGTGTTCAGTGTAGGTGACGGCATCACGGATCATATTTTCTAGGAACACCTTCAGCACACCTCGGGTTTCCTTGTAGATCAGACCGGAGACACGCTTGACACCACCACGTCGAGCCAGACGACGGATGGCAGGCCCTGGATGTTATCACGAAGAACTTCCGATGACGCTTGGCGCCTCCTTATCCAAGACTTTTGCCTCCCTTGCCATGACCAGTCTTTGATGCATGATGTTTGTCGTTGAACGGGTGAATCGAAACTAAGCCTAAAGCGTGGTTAGCAACCTCTTATATAGACAACCAGCTCTGCCGGTACCATATTTCCTCGCTTCCCATTGGCTATTTACAGTGATGGTGATGCAGTTTTGTCGATATTGGGAAATTGCCGTAAAAGCTCTACGCAGATGTCGCCACTGCATAATGATGATAATGTTGACAGGCTACATAGCAATTTCTCAATATCGACAAAGCTTGCTGAAAGGCGTGCTGAAGGTGTTCCTAGAAAATATGATCCTTGATGCCGTCACCTACACTGAACACGCCAAGCGCAAAACCGTCACGGCCATGGATGTCGTCTACGCTCTGAAGCGACAGGGACGCATTCTGTACGGATTCGGAGGTTAAAACTTATCACCAACGTAACAAAACGGCTCTTTTCAGGTCCACCAAGTTGATTTCAGAAAAGAGGAAGTTCTGAGGCATAACATCTCTGATCATGCCTTCCTTTGGAAGGGAAGTAAAGCCGTT